TACAAATAATAAAAGAAATTTTTCCATTTACATGCTGAAGAAAGTTGTATTACTATAAATTCTATTCTCATTCTATCCTGTTCCCTCTCTTCCCTACTTCCTTCCATTTTTCTCTCTGTAGAGTCTGAAACTGATGCAAGGAACAGAGAGAATTTACCGTACTTTGAAAAATACGGTCTTTAACATATTTCAACATGTGTAATTATTAGTTTCAGGATACCCTTAGGCTGGGCTTCCCGAGTGCCTCAGTGGCACTGTAATGCAGAAGACACAGGTGACACGGGTTCAATCCCTGGATCAAGAAGATCCCCTAGAGGAGGAAATGGCAAGCCATTCCAGTACTCTTGCCGGGAAGATCACATGAACAGAGGAGCCTGGCAGGCTACAGTTCATTGGATTGCAAGGAGTCAGACATGACCGAAGCGACCGAGCAAGAGCCCCCTTAGGCTACTGAGTCACATATCAAAATGCAAGCGAATTTAAGTGATTGGAAATGTGATTTAGTATATACTATAATGTGATATAATAAATATATTATCATAGGATATGTACTCAGGAAGACCCAATCTAAATAAATTACTACTCTTGTGGAGAGCACTGCAAAAAGATAGGCAGTGATTCTCCAGAACAACTGAAACTGAAACCTATGTTACTTAAATTGTGAGAGACAAGTTGTAAATATTAAAACACAGCGAATGAAGAAAGTGAACAGGAGCTTTAAATATGAGCCTCAGTCAAAATTTGCAAAGGAAGACGTTTTGATTTTGGGTATGATTTGTGACTGAGCTGTTTCTTTCAGGGGCAGCTCTTATGTCGTGTTGGTGAAATGTGAGGCTTCAGGGATTTATTCATTATTCAAGATGGTTGATAAATCTTGCAAGCAATGTTGAAAAGAAAAACTAGCTATATATAATCATTTATTTTAACATATGATAAATGAACTGTTTTGGAACAATAGGGAAATAAATGAATGGAAGATGTTATTTAAAAAAAAGTAAATATTGAAATACTTTAAATGGCCTGAACACAGTTTGAAGAGATTTATAAAATACAAAAGAGCATATCTGAACATTTTAAATTAAAATAATAATTGGGAAAATATTAGGCTCTGTAGTGACAGAAACAATATCTTTGTCATATAAATAGTTTATAAAAGTAATAAGCTAAATACCAAATTCTGAAAAAAATTGAAGAATATAATTTGACTCAGTTAACAAGAAAAATTAATAATGAGACATGAAAAATGAACATTTCCAATAGTAATAGAGATGTAATTTCAAATAGCAACATATTATAATTTTATTCTTATTAACATACTAAAAATTTCAGAGAAGTTAATAAGGTGAGATTTTTTTGAAATTGTTGTATTTTGCTAGTATCAGTATAAATTACTCAAATCATTTGTGAAGTTATTAGGCAATAAATATAAAAAGGTATGCAATGTATTCTCCCTTTGAGTCTCTGATTCTCATAGGAATTTATCCTTGTGAGAAATGCCAAAGAAAAAAGGACATTCATTATGATTTCATAGCATGGGAAAGGGAAAAATCCAAATGGCCATTGACAGAGAACTGCTTAAATAAATTATGGTGGAGGAACTGAATGTAATACTATGATGCCATTTGTAAGGAATATTTGGGGTATATGGGGTTAATGGGTGTTTTTAAATAACTAATATTTAAAAAAAAAATTTTTTTTTTTGCAAGAGGGAGGCAGTAAAATCAAAGCTTAAAGGATGAGGACAGAAGAAGGAGATTGGCTTTCAAGTCCAAAGTATTAATATATAATTGTAACCTGAATGAACTCATTGATATATTTAATGAAAGAATGCACCAGCTGAGGATTAGGTTGTTTGGTGATGGAAATGGCAACAACCAAGAGGAGAGGTCTTGAAAACAAAACTGATATGTGCCCATTCATCACTGATTAGGACACTATCATCTTTCTAAGAACTATTTAGAGTAGTTATGCAAACAGGCATTCAAACTACTTAGAGATTCTTCTTCTTTTTAATCTTTTGTTTATCTGTTTAGGCTATGCTGTGTCTTAGTTGTGGCTCCAGGGATCTTCATTGTGGTGTGCGAACTTCTTAGTTGCACCATGCATGTGGGATCTAGTTCCCTTGCCAGGAGTTGAACCTGGGCCCTCTGCTTTGGGAGTTTGGAGTCTTACCAACAGGGAAATCCAAAGGATTCTTTTTTTGTTTATCATCCATGCTAGTCAGACACACCTGAGCACACAGTCAGGCTACCTCCCTTACCATTAGACATCTCATGGAGTTTGCCTAGAATGTAATAGGCAGGTCAAAGCAAACATGAGAAGGAATGCTTACACCTTCACTGCTTTATTTCTCATTATAAATTAATAACTTGCTGTTCTAGTTTCATCATACATCAGTCTCTTTAAGGTTTCTTAGAATAAGCGAGACCGCATACTCAATCAGTTCTAGGACAGGAAACAAATTGGGTGTCACAGTCTGTAAAAGGAGAAGAGAGTGAAGAATTTACCAAGGTAAGCGGCACCTTGTAGACATGACTAATCACCTGGCCTTCCACAGGGGACACCCTATTTCATTTTATAAAGTCTTTGAGCATTAGCACATTAAGATGATCATTATGAACCCATGAAGCAACCAGAAAGTGTTTTGCTATAATTTTAAATAAAAAGTTAAAGCATAACATTTGTCTATCACAAAAACAATAATTTAAAATAAAGATGAATATGGGCACAATAATAAGGGAACAAGGACAAAGAAACAGACTGTGTTAGTGGGACATGCCAATAATGTATATTTCTTTCTACTGCCATTTCCTTTGTTTACTTTAGAAAAATCAGGAGAAAAATGAAGTTCTGCATTATATATGAGTGAGTGAGAGAGTGATGTTTGCTCAGTCATGTCCGACTCTTTGCAACCTCATGGACCATAGCCTGCCAGGCCTTTTGCTCACAGAATTCTCCAAGCAAGAATACAGGAGTGGGTTGCCATTTCCTTCTCCAGATATATAAGAATAAAATGTAATAATTGTATTAGTAATGAAAATATTACCATATTTAATATTAGTTAAATGATAAAATATATATTAAGAAACACTAATTTTAGAGGCATTTTCATTTCTAATTGACCTGTGAATCTGTTAAGGCTAATACATGGTAACAGAAAAACTGCAATTCAAAATAAAGGTACAATAGACATATAAAATCTGGACATGTGACTTTCCTCTTAGACAAGCAAAAACATATTGAGCAATAAAACTCACTTTGTATTAAAGTCTCCATGTTAAAGACTTTGAATAATCTCTGGTAAACTGCTTGATAACTAATCTACAAATATAAAGTCTAGTTATATATGCTTGTAATTTCCTTTTTAGCAAGCAAATCAGTTTGCCAGTTTATTTCATTCTTGGTTTCCCTTTTTCCCAAGTTATTAAAACAACTTAAAAGAATTTTTTTCATCTCCTAGTTTCTCACAGTCAAAGTTTATAAGAAATACATCTTTTTTATGGAGACACTCATTATTAAGATGCTTAATATAATTATTTCCATCTACATCCTTAGCAGTTAAAGATATAGAGTTAAATATATAGCAGTTAAAGATATAGGAGTTTATAGAATGTCATAATCTATGACTTAAATATTAACAGAATATTAAGTTAAAACACCCTGATGCTGGGAAAGATTGAAGGCAGGAGGAGAAGGGGAAAACAGAGGATGACATGGTTGGATGGCGTCACTGACTCAGTGGACATGAGTTTGAGCAAGTTCCAGGAGTTGGTGATGGACAGGGAAGCCTGGAATGCTGCAGTCCATGGGGTCGCAGAGTTGGACATGACTGAGCGACTGAACTGACTGAAGTTAAATACTAAGTTTATTGTGGAAAGTGACCAATAGTGGGCTGGTAGAACAGAATAGAGTCCAATGTGACCATCACCCAAATATAGGTTTGAGATTAAAATTTTAACCTTATATATTTAAGTAATTTAATTCAAATAGTAATCTAATATAGGCAGAAGTATTATTACTCCAATTCTCTCCTCTGTGTTTTCTTTCTTTTAATCTTTTCATCGAGTCAGCTTAGTGTAAGTCTGCACCTCCTTCTAGAGTATGAAAATAGCAGCCACTTTTCACTCATTCTCAGGGAAGAAATATTCTTGAGAGGAACTCTGTTAATTCCTCCACATTCTGCTTTTCAGAGTTCAGCATCAAAGTTTCTTTTTATCCCCAGTCTTCCTTGATTGTCTACCATTGGCTGATGTGAAAGCTGAAGAAGCCACTGGGTCTGAGTTAGTGACTTCTTACTATGTTCAGAGCAATTTCTCAGAAATAAAAGGAAACGAGGAATTGTAGGCTGTGATGTTAAAATAGCTACATCAGTAAAAAAAAAAAAAAAAAAAAGCCAGGAGAGAGTAGATTTTACTGTAAAAAGGGAATGAGTGGAGTTAATTACATCTTTGGGGGCATCATATTTTTAGTCAGTCTTCAAAACTCATTGAATTCAAATAAATTGAAACATTTTTGGTTAGTCTCTATGTTTCTTATTCATGACAAGTATAAATGTGAATTTAAAGTGTTTAAAAGTAGTGATCTTGCATTTCATTCTGCAGTAACTCTTACCTCAGAGCTCCAGGATACATTTCTGGGCACAGATGTATACAGGATATGAAAGCATGATAAAGAGAGCTAGGCCAATTTCAAGAGGTTATAGAAGGTACATAGGACATAACACTCTTAAATACAACAATTATCTCCCAACTCCATAGTCAAACACAGGTATGTTGCTCTTGTTATAGAAGGTGAGAAATGGAGTATTTTCTGCCATATCAGTAAATGAAGATGTCACAGTCATCAGGGATTCCGGCCCTCCAAATGTGAATTCCTGAACCCTAAGAGAACTCAGGAAGGAGAAGAATACTTGCATCTGGCAGCTATTAGGCTGCAGTCACTCCTTATGGTGAGCACTGAAAAACTCACCAAAATGTTAGCCTCAGACAGCTGAGATACCTATGAAAGGAATGATTTCAGTGAGCCTAGACTCTTGCATCTTCTCATACAGAAGTGGTAGTTTAGTCACTAAGTTGTGTCCAACTCTTGTTACCCTATGCACTATAGCCAGCCAGGTTCCTCTGTCCATGGGATTTCCCAGGCAAGCATACTGGAATGGGTTGCCATTTCCTTCTCCCGGGGATCTTCTCAATCCAGGGACTGAACCCAAGTCTCCTGCTTGGCAGGTAGATGCTTTACCACTGAGCCACCTAGGAAGCCCTCCTAAACAGAAAAGTGCTAAATCCCTTAACTTGGGATAACCTGTTTTGTTTTTTTTTTAATTCACAAAAATATTTTTGATGTTCAGACTACTTACTCTTCATTGCAAATTTCTTTATAACCTGACTCCTTCCCACCTTTGCTTCTTCCTCAGAGCTGTTCTGTCTAGGTTACTTGAGATGCTACCTCTTAGGTTTGAAGTCCTAAAAATTCCCACTTAATAAAACATAACTCTCAACTTTTAGGTTGTGTGTATTTTTCCAATTGACTAGGAAGGGAAAGACACCCATGAAAAGTATAAATGTTATAAAATACAAATAAACATCACAGGAAGAGTCAAGTAAAAAATATGGAGAAAGATTAATATAGATAAAATACGTAAATTGGGATGCCAGTAGTTCTGTTAGGGGAAGCACACTGATTGAAACCGCCCACCCTGACCAGGCACCATAGTAACCATTTGCATGAGTTGTTTTATGACAGGAGATCCTGATAAGGAATACAGAACTAATAAGCCACCACCAACCAGAAGAGTTCGGGAAAGGTCAAGAGGAGACACCGCTTGTCCGTCCACTTCCCAGAATCCCTCTTGCTAGCATCCATCTTGGCTGAGTGATGCGTGTGGCCACCAGGAAAGACCCTGAATTAGAATGATTGGCCAAAGACCACCCGGAAACTAATCCCATCACCACAAAACCTGAGACTTCAAGCCAGGTAGAGCAGTTCTCCTGGGTTCCCTTACCCTCCTGCTCTCCACCCAGGTACCCTTCCCAATAAAATCTCTTGCTTTGTCAGCACATGTGTCTCCTCAGACGATTCATTTCTGAGTGTTAGAAAAGAGACCGGTTTCGGGCCCTGGAAAAGGTCCCTCTTCCTGCAACAATGGTGACTCTGGTGGGGACTCTTCTTTGCTGAGATTGACATCCTGACCACTCAGGGTTCTCAGGGGCCAGCTTGTCTGCCAATGGACCAGACCCAGTGGCCGCTACTGGGACCCTTTTGTCCCTGGTCTCCTCCTAACGCTGACAACTGGCCAGAGTACCCCAACCGGTAAGGAACAAGAGACTTTATTGACCTCTCTCCCCTTCCCTCTCTCTTTCCTCTCCTTAGCCCTTCCTATCCTTCCCGTTTTTCTAGTCCCACGGTCCTGGACGCAGGAATCTGGTCAAAGGGCCTCAGCCTGAGCTGAGGGTTGGAGACTGATCACCTCCTCTTGGCAGAGAACTCGAATTCTGGTTCTGGTCTGGTCTGATTTCTGGTAGGGCCGAGTTCCAGTCCTCCCTTCTCTGGAGGCCCAGGGTAAAGTCCCGTAATGTCTGGGTATCTGCAGGTGGCAGGAGACGTCTGTAAGGCCACCCCTTTTGCCCCCCTTTCCCACCTCCTCCCCCTTCTTCTTTCAACCTGGCTTCCTTTCCTCCCTTTGACATCTTTGAAGACCTGAGATATTTTCCTTTACTCTGTTAATACTTGGATCTGAAGTTCTGTGTCTCTATAGGAGGTTTTCTGAGAGACTGTATTCTTGTATTTAAGGGAGTGTCTGATGAGGACTGCCAGGTTTATATGTGTGTGTTTTAACTCTGTGTTCTGTGTTGTGATTTCTGAGGGCTATTTTGCTTTGTCTGGCCACTATTTGGTTTAGACCTGCCACCATTTTGTTAGAACTTGATTTTCTTTCTCTGTGCCTTGAGACCACAGCTCTCAGGAACACTTATCTAGACCATCTCTAACTCCTGAGATTGAGGGAAAAGGGGAAAAACTTAAAAAATTTTTTTAATCTCAACTGTTTTTTTATAAACTGGTAAATTTTATAAGCTGGTAAATATCTAATTCATGACTAAACTTAGAAAATGAAGCTAGATCTTGCACTGTGTCTGTCTAAATATGTCTTGGTATATCTTTGTCTCTGGGTAATATTTTTGAGGTTAATTTGTAAATGAGCTCTATTTAATTGGCTTAAAGAAAGGTAAGTGCTTACAAATCAAATTAATTCTAAATTAATAAATTCCAGGTTCATGTGAACTGGGAAATATTCAGTATTAAATACCTGATATTAGTGTTTGTTTGTTGACCTATCTAATATAGATATATCTTAGAGTAATTAACATTAAGTAGGATATTTTCATTGTACCTAGGTTTAATATAAGTTAAATATTATATCTGTTACAAGTTTGTCAACAAGGAAATTACCTCGAGTGAAGAAACTTATAGAAACAATGTAAATGAGATATGAGTTTTTATATAAACTCTATTAAGAATAATTATTCTTTAGGAATATCTATCTAAAATAGTCTCTCCAAAAAAAAAAAAAAAAAAAAGTCTCTCCAGATTGGCATAACTTGAATTTCTAAGGGTTGTGCTAAACTAAGTATTGGAAGTCTATTGAATAATTAGGTCATTTCCAAATAAAATAAGATTTTGAAACATTTACTACTAAACACTGATTTCCTTTTACAGAAAAACTAAAGAGATTTGGGACTATAAATGAATAATGTTTGATGCCATCCTAAAATGTTTTAAGAAAACAAGGGTTTTAGAAATTATCACTGGTATTTATGCTCACCAATCTATAAAATGCTAATATAAAGGAAAGCAGGAAGTGTGCTTTCAGTTTAAAAAAAGGGTATGAAAAAATACTAAAAGGAGTTATGCATGATCAGGATTTTCTAAAATTGGATTACAATTAGTTAGATAAATGGATTTTGTTAGAGGAATGACATGGTCATAAGAAAACTGGTTAGAGCCAACTAGGTCCAAGATGGCGGAGCTGACTTTCACCAAACCTTGAACCTTGGTATTTATGCCCATTGTGACATATCAACAAACTAAATGATATACCCATCAACATTGACTAAATCTGACCAAATGTTCTAAATGCTTTTAATTGATCTTTTCAATAAAACTTCCTAAATCGAATTCTTTTGAAGTTCCTTTGACCTCTAGCTAATTTTGGGGTGCTTCAGAGGGCCCCTGAAAAATCCCAAAGAGAGATATTAAACTGTGTTTATTTGGTTGGTTACATTACATGAAAAAGATTATCAAATGAGTAATAAATCTGCTCATGTTATAATGTATGATAGAATTACTAATACAGATATCCTAGAAATTATATGGAGTTCTTAACATTTTGATATGTCCTGGTATTCTAATGAAAAACCTGATGACTTCACAAAAGTTAACAAAGGACTGAATGAACCAGCAAATATGCTTATAACTTTTGTGGTTTCTATCTGAAAAATTACAGGTTTGAATCTTGTGTTTTCTGGAAGTAGGGAAAACCTTCCTCTCAAACTAATTATGAAAATAATTTGGTAAAATTATACATTATAAACAAAACAATTATATTTTCTCCCTATCTGACTCCTCCAGAAATTTGAAACTGTTAGATTTCCATTAAATTTATCAAATGAGCTAGGAAGGTTATCTCACTAACAGGTACAAAAATCTCAAGGAATTTTTGAGACCTTAACAAGGGAAGAATTCACCTAGATTTTTAAGGCAAAATCTGAGATAAGCTTTTGGTGTGAGTTTCCCAGCCCTGTTTTATATTAGAAGTTAAGTCTGAGATTCCATAAATGTTTCAGCAAAATAAAAAATCTATGATCACTTATGGTTATATAAATCATCAGACCAAAATTAGCGAGAACAGACCTATTTTGCAAACAAGCTAGCCTTAATTTGGTTATATTTGATAAAAATGAGGGTAATTTTAGGGAGAAAAAGATGTTTCAATAAAAGTTAAGTCCCAGTTTGTTAATGGAGGTCTACCAATGAAGGTAGTAGACTCATTTCTTGGATAGTTCTTTGCTGTTATGTGATATTTATGTAAAATTTAATTGAATTCTTAAAGAACACCCTAAGTTTGTTTCTGAAGCTCATCTCAGTAATCTATCTTTGGATGAAGATCAGATGCTGCATGACCTGCAACCAGGATTGAAAAAAGACATAATTTAAGGGACTGTCTCCAATCTGGATGGAAGGAATTTTTTTTTTTTAATCAAAGAAACTACACTACACCAGGATGAGAAGACGACAACATCAGAGGTAGACAGCTTGCCCAAGATGCTGGACCTGATTCGGATGATCATTTATAATGTTTTCTTGACTTCTTAGACCTTTGCATATAAACCAAATGCTTTTCTATCATAGGCCTGACCCTATGCTAGTTTTAGAAATCAATCCAATTGTTGGGTTTGTGGCCAATTACTTGTGTCTAGTTCTGGGTTACTTTGGTAAATTTCTCTACTACAAGACTCTAACTGGTTGGCCCTGAGGAAATTTACTTTAAAAAATAATTATAGTCATATTCAGGTCACTGTGATATTACTAGATGGGATCCCCTCACCGGGGCAGTTAATAATGCCTGCTCTGACTCTGGCCATAAATTTGAGCCTTTTTCTATTACTCAAGCTCAATCAGAGCAACAAGAGAAGTTTCAGCAAAGGAGGAAAAAATCTCCCACAATTATGGGATAGCTTTATATAGATAACAGCAGGCTATGGTAATTTAGGTTTAAAGCCTCCTCTGTGTTGGAAACAATTAAATCATACTAAAGCTAATCAGTTTAGTAACACTATAAAACCGGGCTATTTGCCTTATAGACGGTGGTGCCAATGTATAATTTCCCTGGAAGATAAAAATTCGTACAGAGTAAACTAAGTCAGACGAACTGGGAGATACTGGCTACATCTAATGGAAGCTCTTAAGTCTTCCTTGTGACTTTACTAATACTGCTGGCTATGTTATTTGTATTTCACCTGTTTTACAAAATTGCTGTTTCTTACACTGCCAAATGTGTGACTGAGGCCTCTGATAGGATAAAATATAGTTCCACATGAGGTCGATGATGGTAACAGTGTAACTCTAGATATGGGAAGAAGCAACAAGAGGGAATGTTTTCCTGTACCAAGAGGCTAGTAAAACAGGTGGTCCAGAGAATTTTGGATACTGTTTTATGGCCTAGTCCAGTAACAGCACATTGAGTGGCCTGTCAACAAAATCTTTGCCAAACCTGAGAATGGACATTCTCAGCATCATGGGATAA